TATATATATAATATCCCTCGTAAATACAAATAAAAATCCTTATTTACTTTTTTAATTTATATTTCCGTTTTTCTTTTCATATCTCTCGTTTTTTATTTGTCACAGGACTAACCGTTAAAGTTCATTCCCTCATTCCGGCCAGTGTAAATTGCTAATCAATCATTGGCATCAGTTTAACAACATTGCTGCTGTAATTATCGTTGTTGTCGTTGTCATTTGAAATTGATGATAAGTTGCAGCAATCGTAAAAAATCGAGTTAAATTTATGATATTGCACAAGGAAAAGAAACGTTTTATAGCTTCATATGTTTGCGTCCTTAAGGACGGTTTAAACTCAACGTCAACAACATTTCCTTTTGGCCTCAATACAAACAACAGCAACAAAAAATAAATAATGTTGAAAACATGATCTGATCGAAATCCATCCAATCAACCATCTTCTCTCTGCCAGTCAGCCAGCCATCAATTCATCCAATCAACTTATGAGAATATAATGATAAATGACTGTGCGAAACTTAATTAAAAATCGATAAGGGAAGTATGCGAAAGGAAAATCACACTTGAAGCTCAGTGCAGAGATGAAAAACGGCAGAATAATGCATAACAAAAAGAAGACCGAAACAGAAACACCTACGCCTTCTGCTATGTTCTTTGCTAATTACACTTGGCAAAATTTAATTAACCAATATGTTATGCTAATGCCTGTCAGCATAATTTGCTCGGTAGAAGAAGAAAAGTTACAGGGAGTTGCGGCGTTATTTCTCCCCTTCACCTATCTGGGCTCTCTTTTTGTTCTACATTGTGCTAAAAAGCTTTTCATTTCTTATAATTGCCTTCGAAAATGGTGTTGTAATTTCCATACCAAAGCCAGCAATTATTATTCCTGGTATTACTTGGCAAACACCAAATCCCACAATAACTACAAGTGGTGCATACACAGTAGAAGAGGGCGCTGAAGCAAAGTGTGAAAGGAGAAAAAACAAAAACATCTAGGAAAATAATGGATGCAAACCGTAAAAGGAGTAAAAAAGGACGGATATCGATGCCAGACATCATAGTCACAGACATTAGGGCACTGAAATGGCAATTCAAATGGCAAATGAGAATGGGTATTGTCTCCCGTAAGGAAATAGTCCCACCCACCAACCAAAAAGACCAAGACAATCTCTAGCAAACCAAATGGCAGAAAAAAAAATATTATTTTCTTTCCAGACATCTATGATGGGTCTTCGCAGGCAGAAGGACGACGGGGCAATACAACTACACAGTTATGAGGCGTAACAATTCAGACGTGCTCATTGGGTTATAAATGCTTTTAACTAATTTACCTAATTAAAATGTAAAATGTCAACCTAATTATTTGAATATTGAAATGGCAAATAGAACTCTTATACACACACACTAACGAAATGTGGTAGCAATGGAAACCGCACCACATGACATGACATAACTTTATGCCCCAAATACGAAACCCAAATTATTATTAGAGAACACATAAAAACTCACATCGAGGCCATTAATAATTTTGGGACAAAATATTAAATATAGATAATATAATAACAAATTAAAAACCAGTAAGGAAAGCAGTAAAGTCGGAAGGGCCCGACTATATGATACCCTTCACAACTTTGAGTATATTCAAAAGATGAATCCTAACAGACGTCGCATTTTTAAAGGACCAGTAAAATGAAATTGGAACCATAAACACGTCATTCTGCAACCGATACTAAATTGTTCATTTGGTCAGATATAGAAGCTATATCTAAATCTGAACCGATTTCAGGAAACTTAACACACATCTAGACCTAATTCATTACGCTGTGCCAAATTTAGTGCAAATCGAAAGATATTAAGGGACTTTGGTGCACCATTTACATTAAATCGGTCGAAAATATATCCGAACCGATTTTCAGGAAACTTAACACACATCATTCTAGACCTAATTCATTACGCTGAGCCAAATTTAGTGCAAATAGAGAGATATATAGAGACTTTTGAGCACAATTTACCTTAAATCGGACGAAAATATATATGAGATCTATATCTAAATCTGAATCGATTTTCAGGAAACTTAACACACATCATTCTAGACCTAGTTTGTTACGCTGTGCCAAATTTCGTTCTTAAATCGACTCAAAAAGTGATTCTATGCATATTCTCAAAAGGAGTCATGTGTCTATCTCGTTTCCTTTTGCCTGTTACAAACATATGCACAAAGACATAATACCCTGTACCACAGTGTGGTAAAGGGTATAAAAAGAATTTGTTTCAAGAACCTGAAAATACCGAAAATTAGGGGTACCCTTATATGGGGGCTACCAGAAAAAATTTACCAATATTTATAATTTATAGTGGAGAGATTTGCTACCTAATAAGAACTCGACGTTCGATCAGATCAGAACCCCCAAAATACCAAAATTTTGGGGGTACCGTTATATGGGGACTACCAGAAAAACTGGACCTATATTTATAATTTTTAGTGGAGTAATTTGGTACCCAATAAGAACCCAATGTACAAAATTTCAGAGAATTCAGTTATAAAACGACCCCAAGAACCTCAAAATACCGAAAATTGGGGGTACCCTTATATGGGGGCTATCCGAAAAAATGAACCTATTCTTATAATTTTTGGTAGGGAGAATTTCCTACATAGTAAGAACTCAAAGTACCAAATTTCAGCGAATTCAGTTAAAAAACGCGCTCAAGAACCTCAAAATACCGAAAAATTGGGGGTACCCTTATATGGGAGCTATGCCTAAACGTGGACCGATTTTCTCCAATTTCAATAGGGTTCGTCCTTGGGCCAATTAAGTGACCTGTGCCAAATTTCATCCAAATCGGATCATAAATGCGACCTGTACTTTGTTAACAAAAATACATGGACGGACATGCATAAATCGACTCAGAAAGTGATTCTATGCATATTCTCAAAAGGAACCATGGGTCTATCTCGATTATTTTTGCCTGTTACAAACATATGCACAAAGACATAATACCCTGTACCACAGTGTGGTGAAGGGTATAAATAGGTTGCTGCCTCCATCATAAGGATAAATTGAGAGCTTGGAAAGTACTAAGAATTTTTATGCATGCACCAAAAAATATTTATAAACACATATATATATATATATATATTCGGATATAAAGACTTTTGTGATAGTCGACTATTTTTTCAGTTTAAGGAAAAAAACCGGCAGCAACTCGGGACAGGGCTATTGGCAAAATTTGATAATAACTAGGGGTGTTTTCATTGTAAAACCAGTAAGGAAAGTTCAAAAGTCGGACGGGGCCGACTATATGATACCCTTCACCACTATGGGTACATGCAAGACATTTTAATATCTACAATATCCTGTAGATATAGACATTTCGCATACATCAGTCGGGACCTAATTCAGAACTCTGTGCAAAATTTTGCTTCAATCGGACCAATATTGGGAGTTTGGTGCAAAATTTACCTTAAATCGGACGAAACTATATATGGGAGCTATATCTAAATCTGAACCGATTTCAACAAAACTTCGCATTCATCAATGACCTAATTTAGTACGCGGTGCAAAATTTTGTCTCAATCGGATAAATATTGGCAGTATGTTGCTCCATTTACATAAAATCGGACGAAACTATATATAGCATATTTAGATATAAATCTGAACCGATTCCAACAAAATTTCTCATACATCAGTCGGGACCTAAATCAGTACTCTGTGCAAAATATTGCTTTAGTCGGACCACTATTGGGAGTTTGGTGCACTATTTACATGAAATCGGACGAAACTATACCAAATTTCATACAAATCGGATCATAAATGCGATCTGTACTTTGTTAACAAAAATACATGGACGGACGGACGGACATGCATATATCGACTCAGAAAGTGATTCTATGCATATTCACAAAAGGAACCATGGGTCTATCTCGATTATTTTTGCCTGTTACATACATATGCACAACGACACAATACCCTGTACCACAGTGCGGTGAAGGGTATAAAAAGGTGGTTATAAGGGGACCACCCCTAAAAGGAGGCGAATATTAGTAATTTTTAGGAGGGAGGTTTGTTACCATATACGACTACAAAAAACCAAATTACAAAGAATTTGGTTGAAAAACGCGTTCAAGAACCCCAAAATACCGAAAATTGGGGGGTACCCTTATATGGGGGCTACCCGAAAAAGTGGACCTATATTTATTATTTTTAGTGGTGATATTTGCTACCTAATAATAACTCGATGTACTAAATTAAAGTCAATTCGGTCGAAAAATACGATCAGAACCCCCAAAATACCAAAAATTTGGGAGTACCGTTATATGGGGACTACCAGAAAAACTGGAACTATGTTTATAATTTTTAGTGGAATAATTTGGTACACAATAAGAACCGAATGTACAAAATTTCAGAGAATTCAGTTATAAAACGAGCCCAAGAACCCCAAAATACCGAAAACTGGGGGTACCTTTATATAAGGGCTACCCGAAAAAATGGACCTATACTTATATTTTTTTGTGGGGACATTTAGTACCCAATAAGAACCCAATGTACCAAATTTCAGCGTATTCGGTTGAAAAACGCGCTCAAGAACCCCAAAATACCGAAAATTGGGGGGTACCCTTATATGGGAGCTATGCCTAAACGTGGACCTATTTTCTCCAATTTCAATAGGGTTCGTCCTTGGGCCAATTAAGTGACCTGTGCCAAATTTCATCCAGATCGGATCATAAATGCGACCTGTACTTTGTTAACAAAAATACATGGACGGACGGACAGACGGACGGACAGACGGACATGCATAAATCGACTCAGAAAGTGATTCTATGCATATTCTCATATTTGCCTGTTACAAACATATGCACAAAGACATAATACCCTGTACCACAGTGTGGTGAAGGGTATAAAAAAAACAGTGGTGACTGTGGTCACTGATTGAGTGTATTCATATGTACATGTATTTGTTGGTTTGCATGTATATGCAGAGTAATAATATTCATTTATACTTACTTTATTCGATTATAAACCAACAATTCCGCTATATCACGACCCAATCCTGAATAGGTAGTTTCCACAAAGACCAATACCTTCGGGTCGATACGTAAACGTGCCTCAGTCCGATGATCGGGTGCCGGTGACACACCCCTTGCATGTTTCCCACTGCCCATGCGACATTTGATGATTGGTGTTGGCCGGGTGTCACGCTGTATTAAACTGCAAAAATTGAGATGGAGAAGAAGAAGCAGAAAAATTAAACAATAAATATGTAAACAAATAAAACAATTTGAAATAGTTGATGCAGTATAAAATGCAAATAGAAGGAATTCGAAATGTCTTTGTGTGTGTGTGCATAACACAAACATTCTCTGCTGTCAAAATCCGCATAAATAAAACCACAAAAAAACGCAAAAAAAGGGACATGGTTTCGGCGGTTTATTTGTGTTCGTCCGACAATTATGACAAGGTATAGGCATAGCGGGGCAATGGCTGCAGATGTAACCATGGCCACCACTAACAACGCGAAATAAAAACAGAACAAAAAATAAATAAAGAAAAACCAACAACAAAGGGAACTAGGATCACATTACATGGTAGTACATGGTAGTACACAATTGTTTGATTGTTCAATTAATAGCCGGGTTAAATCTCTGTCCACAGCAATTGTATGGTTAAGAGAATAACAACCAATGTCATGTCACTGTAACCGAACATATTCATTCGCTTTTATGTGCAAAATGTGAACAAAAACAATGGGCCATATCGAAGAAGCATTCTGATTTGATTATTTAATTCTGATTCTGTTGACAAGTTGTTGGCATTTCATGATGAATTTTATTATAGAGAAAATTAAATTAAATATTTAATTTTATATTTTTGTAAAACAAAAAGAAATATTTTTTAATCATATAAAACGAAAAAAAGCTTGGCAATGATTGAATCACCGCTGAATGAAAGGAGTCTCATGTCTTCAAAGATACGCGCAATTTGACGCTTCAGAGGACATACTAATCGCTATATAGCCTAAAGCTCTTTGGAGTAAAATATTGATGCCGGCAGCATCTGGTGAACCGTGTTCTTCGCTCTATGAATCGATTACGAGCATCGAGAATTGGATTTGATAAGTAATTATGATCTAGTAAAAATAACCTTTGGAACACGTAAATCTAAGATATGGACAACAGGCTGTTGGATCTATGACATGAAGTTTCTTTTCCACCCCACTCGTGCCGTCCGCCACTTCACTGAGAGCAATGTGATCTTATTGGTAGAGTTCAAGTAGATCTACCCGTTGACACTCTCGTGTTGTTTTGGTGGATTTTGGTGAAATTCGAAAAAAGAAAAACGATAAGACGAACCATTATGCACCATGATAGTCATGGTCACATACCCATAATTTTTCCGAATTTTCTAATACCTGAGTAAATTGGAACAAATTTTCGAATTAATAATAAAATGGTGTCGCCGGAAAATTCTAAATGTCGTCTTTATAAAAAAAACTCTAGCGAGAAAAACTATTTTAATCAATATGTCCCTATACGCATATTTGTGAGGGTTGGTTACATGCATATGTGTTAATTTTTTTATTTTATGGAAAACACCACATTTTCATATTTATGGTTTTCCATGATACTGATACATTATTTCTGCATGAACGATGGTGTATAGTGATATTATTTAGAATTTCCATTGCTTGATTCAGTGCGGCACATTTATGTGGTATTATTGCGGTTAAATACGCAAATCTTTACAAGGATTGCCACTGGTCAATTTCGATATAACACCAAATATTTTGTGTTTAAATGTGGTACATGAAAAAAACGTCATTCCAATTTAAAACGATTAATTGCAATTAAAAATAAATTGAAAAATTATTATTTTAATTTAAAAATTAAAATACGAACATAATGCTGTTTAATAGAGTGTTAAATTGTATTCAATAAAATTTAAGATTGATTGAATTAATTATTACTGAAGATACATTTTTTAAACAATAAAATTTAAAATTATTATTTGAGAACAATCTGAATTTCATATCATAAGCAATGAGCGTACTAGAGTCTAAACGAAATTTGTCCAATCTATAAATGTATGTATATACCCACATCCATTGATATCAAATATGGTAAAAGTTGAAAGTGTCATGTTCGCTTTTCCAATACATTAAAGGTTCAATTTTTATCAGATTTGTACGCAACGAATATAAAACATCCTCGGTAATCACATACAAACACAAATGCATGTATGCAAATGCAAGAAGATAATTCCCATGTCAGGTTTGTTTTTTTTTTCTTTTTCATCCCATTTCATATCCCAAATGAAAATGAATGTACGAGGAATACGAAAAAGATAGAACAAAACAGAATTTCCCAAAAGTGTAAGGAGAAAAAAGGAATCATGCAAGAAAAAAATGAGGAGAACACAAATGAATTGTAAACATTGTGGCTGAAGGAACTAAATGCAAACAAGGATATATCCCGCAATACCAAACGAAACCATCTCAGCTCAAGTTCGAATTTTACAACGACGAAGCCCATCAGCAGAGTGATATACGCGCAGCACTAACACACACACACTATCGCGCCAAGCCAACCAAGCAAATGTTTACTTGTGTTCTTGGTAGCTGCAGTGCCGGCTGTTAAATGTATCCTTGGATTTGTTTGCATTAAAAATGCTACATAAATACAAATTCCTGTTAAGAATGGAGGCAAATTATTGGTCGAAGCGTTGCAGCAGACGTTTGTTTCACTTCTTCTCTGGATTTACAAAACAGCTTAAAGGAATTTTTTTATTTGTTCTTCCTTGAGATCTGTGTGAAAGGATTTGTAAATCCATAGTTACATTGGATGGGTAGGAAGATCATAAAATATCGTTTACAGAATTTCAGAAATTGGCAACAAATGCACTTTGAATATAGGTATAGGTCAAGTTTTTGTGATGTCATGTCTTCAGTCGAATGAAGAATGTTTCTGCAAATCATGCCCTTCTTCTATTCCCAGTATTTTTCGTCCTTATGTTCTGGTTCCGTAAACTGGGGGAAAAGAAATCCATTATTTTTATTCGAACTATACGGCTTTAATTAATATTCTTCGGAATGTCCAATTTGGGCCAAATTTGCACTTTGCACGTTTTTCCCCATTTTAATGGTAACTTCATAATGCCTCTCTCATAGAAGTATTGCTCTCTATTTGCAAAAAAAAACTTCACAATCCTCCATAGATACCAATTTTTCATCATTATAGAATCTTGCCATGCAAGAAAAATATGATAATCGTTTGATGTCAAGTCTGGACTGTATGGCGGATGCTTTTAAACTTGATTTTGACTTGAATATGGAAATGTTTATTGACTCATTAATATGGAAATGTTTATTACTACTACCAGATACATTTTTTGAGAAAAAAAGTCAAAAATTTAAAGTCATGACTTAGTCATTCAATTATAAAACTATAGTTGAGTTCTGAAACGAATTTCAACCACAGGTAGGAATATTTCTCTTTTAAAGTTGATATTTATATATTAGGTACATTTAAATAATTAATTTATACTACGCAAAAATCTAGGAGAATCTCTTAAACTGATAATTCTAATCCAAAAACAAACTGTTTGAATGTATACCAGCAATCTACTGCTGTATAAATCAGTTCTATTGAGGATTAATTGAACAATATAACAAAATTCGTATTGCATTTTAACAACTGTTGCCAAAGCTATTATATACTTTAAATAGTCTTAACATGCCAACACCCTCCCTCCCTCCTGGATCAGGGTACAGCAGACGTTAAGTGTTTAAGTCTTCAGTGCACTTCGTTTCTGTCGGCTGTTAGTGCAAATAAATGCAAGACGTTTATTATCGACAGACACTAGAACAACTATACGAACTACTGCCATTATCCAGCGACTGAAGGAATCCGCTTGCAATAGCAATGAATGCAATCGAAAGCCTTTTTGTTGTTGCTTGCTGTTCCTTTAAAATGCCACAAAACGGAATGAATTTTTCTTTCGTAAATGCACTTAAATAAGGATAAGTACCGGAAATGCTACAAGTACTGACATGAGGACTTATTCTGTGTAGGACAGATACAAACACACACATACACGAACGCACCAATACTGTGTCACGTTGATTTCTTTGTCCTTCTTCTTAGTGTAGAATAATGCAGAACAGAAGTTTTCGACACCACCATTTATTTCTTAAGAAACAGAAAAACAAGAAGAAGAACAACAACAAAAAACAACAGACTTTTGGATTTGTCATCCATATCAAAGTAATGCACAAACTGTTTAAAACAGCTCAGCAAAAGAAGAATGAAAAAATAGGATTCCAACAGAATGCCTGGCACAATTTCGGGCAACAAATTTTAAATGGGAACAAATATTTCACAGTGAGACAATTATAAATGGTGTCGAAAGACAGACAGACAGACCTCTTGAAGTCATTGTTCCACTCCAAAAACCGAATCCATCTCGTTTATTCTCTGGCTGAAGATTTTTCTTTTGTGTTTGTGTATGTGTTTAAATTTAATACTATAGAGCTCAAGGATTCTGATCGATGCCAACTTAAAACAAAATGTGAAGAGAAATTCAAGTACACAAAGACTAAAGGCAAAAATATATAAAAAGAATGTTATCAGGTGAAGCTAAAGCATTTAAACAACAAGATTAAGAACATACGCCACTTTTCTATAAGAACATTCATAGACGATACATTACTCTAAAAAGCAATTATTTTATCAATAAATTAGTTTTCCCTAAACTAAATGTTTTTCCATAGAAAAATTTATCAAATAAACTATTTTTAATAAAAAAAAAAAACCGACGAACAGTGGGCGAAATTCAAATATAGTCGTGGAAAAATTAATAACTTTAAAACGAGTAGACTTATAATCGTCATCATTAATGCAAACGGACGTAACTACAGAAAAATTCGAAATTGACTTTTTGTTTGATTATTGTTCATCTAATCAAACTACACGTTCACACAAAAATTTAGACATATAATGTCAAAAACAGCGATCTAAATAAAGAAATTCAAACGGACGTAACTACAATAGTACTTTTTTATTTATGCTAACAGACGTATCTACACTCCTGTAAAAAACTAAAGCTCGCAATATTGAAGAAAGAAATTCTGAACTTATATTAATGTTGCTTCTGGGATGTTTGACATTGAAAATGGGATATATCGCCCAATTTGTACGATAGCCCCCAATATA